CTCTAGCCCAGGCAACACAGTGAGACTCTGTCTCAAAAAAAAAAAAAAAAGGGTGGTTAAAGGAAGAGAGGCTCCTGAAACCAAACAGAGTATTTATTTTTAATATCTACAGGTTTATTTTAACAAAAAGCTATCTTGCAAATTCCACCCCAAGTGGATAAGGCCTGTCCCAGGCACAATTTTAACTAGACTGAGATTCCACCACCAAGTCAAAAGCCATGTTGTTGAAGCAGCACAACCACTCCTAATTCCTGGAGGGAAGAGTCCTAACCAACAGAAGTAAGATATAAGAACAATAAAACTGGGTAATCCCACCAAACAAATAAAGACTGTATTTGTTTAGAGAGGTGTTTCACCAAAGCAGAATCTGGGACCCCAATTTGGCCTTCTAAACAGAAACATGTATAAAAGACTTTAGTCATTTGATTCCAAGGATTTCTGGTGGAGAAAGCAATTTACCTTTTTCCCAATTAACATGACCCGGCAACCATTTTGTATTCCAAGTGCTGACAATGGTGTCTCCATTTCCTTCAGAGATTTTCCTGAAAATAGAGGAAAAGTATGTCAAGTTGTAACAGTATAAATACTGAAGATAGATTTCAGCAAGGGTACAGGTAATAGACAAGTGTGTTCACTAATAAGTAAAAGATAAATTGGTATAACCTTTTTAAAGGGTGTCTAAACCCAGAAATTTCACTTCTAGATATTTATCCTAAACAAATAACTGCACAGTAACTATTATATAATAATATTCAGTGCAACCTTATTCATAATTGTGAGAAACTGGAAAAAGCCAAGTATTTAGGAATAGGGGACTGATTATATATCCATACAATAGAAGACTCTGTAGGCATTAAAGCTAACTTTTTCAGGAAATTTCACTACCACAGTGAATGCTCATCACCCCGTGTTATTACAAGGGGTTTCACCCAGGGGAACATTTTCTTCTTTGTGTTTTCCTCTATTTTGAAACATGAATTTCTACTGTCTATATAATTAAGAAATAAAATGTTTTACAAAAGAAAAGACAAGAAGTTACACCATGAAATATAAATAAAAATGCTTCCTATTACTAAATTCTTTATAATGGCTGACACCCAATGAGATAAATATGCCCCCATCAGATATCAGAATAATGAGCTCCCATGGGCGTGTGAAGACAGAAGATGGGGGTGAGTCCTGACAGAAATCAGCATGATCTGCTGGGCCTGCCATATCCAGGGCCCAGGTAAGTTTGTTCAAAACTTCTGGGGCCGGGCATGGTGGCTCATGCCTGTAATTCCAGCACTTTGGGAGGCTGAGGTGGGAGGACTGTTTGAGGCCAGGAATTCAAAACCAGCATGGGCCACATAATGAGACCCCATCTCTATTTAAAAAAAAAAAAATAGAAAACAAAAATTAAATAAATGTCTCTTTAAAAAAAATAAATAAACCTTTGAGTCAACACAGTGCCAAGCACTGGAAACATAGCAGTATCTCTGCTCTCATAGTTTGTTATCTTAATAGATTAAATCAGATGTTAAGCAACTAAGAAATTATTTAATAGATAAAATGGTTTCAATGCAAGGTATGCAGAGGTAGTGAGGGTACCATGTGAATATATAACGGGGAGAAGATCTAATCTAGCCAAGGAAGACTGCCCATACACTTCATCAAAAATGGTGAGATTTCTCCCATCATCCTGTGACTTCAAATCCGATACTTGTCTAGATGTTTGAAAGTGTCCAACATACAGCAGGTCCTCAATCAATACGTGTTGAAGAAATGAATGAATAATCAAATAAGTAAAAATTGTCCCAGTTTGAAATTTGAAAGACTTACCATTTGGAAAGGCTAAGTAGTTTCAAATCTTTCCTTTAGCCATAAGGGCTCAAAGCTGGAAGAGAAATGCCTACCTTTAAATATGAGTTTCTGAAAAGGCAGTGGAACCCCTGTGGCCTCTTCAACAACCTGGGCCAGGTCTTGGACAATTGGTTCACTGCTACCCTGCTGGGGGGTAACATGAAGGTCGTGCTTCTCATTGCCTGGGGAGAAAGAAAAACATTTGATGGAAATGACTCTTTCACATAAAACAACATAGGCTGATTCCTCATTAAACTTATTTACCAGTACCAGCCTTTAAGGCCCAACTTATATGCCACCTACTCCAAAGAGCCTACCCCCATCTGCCCTGGTTTCCTCTGGTGACCTGCTCAAGGATTTGTTTCCTCTATTATAATAATTAACAATATGAATGATATCAGCTAACATTTTAAGCACTTGTCATGCACAAGGGGCTGTACTAGGTTCATTTCACGCATTATCTTATTCAATCCTGAGAACAACCCCATGAAGTAGGTACCTATTATTCCCTATTTCACAGATGAGCAAACTGTTAAGTCAAGTCCTGCCTATTAAGACCCAACTAGTAGAGTCAGAACTTGACCTCAGATCAGCTGATTTAAAAGTCCACGCTTTTCATCACAAGTCATCTGCCTCCTGTAGCCTGACTGCTCTGTACCCTGTATTATACTGGTCTTGTCTAGCTTGCTATAAGGCAAAGGACTGTTTTCCTCCAAGTCTCTCCCTCTGGGCACACTTAGAGTACATCCATAGTTGGTGCTCAGTAAATAAACAAATTAATACTGTCAGCAGAGAATTTTTTTTGAAGCAGAGATGCCAATTCTCTTCCAGGGATGTGGACAGTAAGGAGGTAGCCTGTGCCCAGTGCATTACACCAAGCTTTGAGCTCCCCCAACAGCCCCATGAGGTCAGTGGGGGCAGGGGTTACCAACTCCACAGATAAGATACCAGATGCCCAGAAAGGAGATACTCATCCTAAGGTCGCTCAAAACTGCAGGATCTAGAATCCTGATCTCCGGATTCCGAGGCCCTTCTGGTCTCCCCTACTTGGTTCTGAGAAAACCTCATAGATTCAGCTCTCCCGTGTACTGACGCTGTTTGTTTCTGTGTCAACTCCAACAACAGGTAGACCCAAAGGGTGCCCAGAGTGTAATTCTTGGACGCACAGCCCACCCAAACAGCAGACATGAAGCGTTCGACACCGAGAAAGCACTCAATAAATAAGCAACATCCTTCCAAGTACGAAGTTCAGACTCATCACAACATGGTCAAATATAAGCCTGACAAAAAGACCCACAATAGCTGCGCGGGCACACAAGCACAAACGACTCGGCTCACGACGTGAAGCACAGACACGCTCGAACACCCAGGATCAAACGAATGTCCAGAGACAAAATACAGCGGCCACATGGAAAGGTGTGCTGACACAAGCCCGGGACAAAGCTGGCCCCACGGACACAGCCAAGAACCCACACCTCCGGAAGCCAGGACAAACACAAGGACACACGCTTCCGGAGGACACGTGGGCAAACCCACAAACCCTGTCGGATCTTCGGACCCGGCAGAGGGCCCACCCGACCGCCTGGCACTCACTGTGGGTGACTGTCAGGGTGAGCCCGGCTGCCGCCATTTCCTCCCCGGTCTCCTCCTCGCTCCGAGTCATCTCCTCGCTCCGGGCCACCTTCTCGCTCTGGGCCACCTCCTCGCTCCGAACCACCTCCTCGCTCCAGGCCGAGCGGGGCCGGACTTTCTTCTTCACCCGCGGCCTGCGAGCGCCGGTGGCGGCGCCCCTGGTGGGTCGGTCATGCCCGCTGGCTGCACTACGAACGGATGGACGCTGAGAGGCAGGCGGGCCGCGGTCGGCCGGGGGCTCCGACTGGCGCGGCTCCCGGCCTAGCCGAGGGGCGCGCTGCTGGGGGCCCTGCCTCTCCCGGTCGCCTCGCGGTCTCCGCGCGCCGCCACGCTCCGCCAGGCCCGCGCTTGTTGACCACCCAGCGATGGTAGAGAGCACGGCGTCTTCCTGGCCCCGCTCCGACTTCCCGGCCACGCCTCTCGGAGCCGACGCTACGCTTGCCCCGCCCCATACCGCTAAAGCCGCCTCCAGGCCCCACCCACTCAACCGAGGCCCCGCCTCGCTCACCTGGAGCCCTGCCCACTCCGTCCACCGGGGCCCCGCCCCCTGACGTTTCCCTCCGGGTCTCCCCAGTCCTCTAGCACACTTTCCCCGGAAGGCCGTGCTGAAAAGGATCGGGAAACACCAGCAGGCACATTGCGCCTGCGCACGGGAGGGCCGGAAATTGAGGTAGAAGTGACTCTACTTCCGTTTCTGGTTTTGCTCCAGTGTTTGGGTTTCTTCGCGGCCGCCCAAGATGAACCGATTCTTCGGGAAAGCGAAACCCAAGGCTCCGCCGCCCAGCCTGACTGACTGCATTGGCACGGTGGGCACTTGACCATGCATAACTTGACCATGGGTGCCTCTGAGACCCCCGACCCCGCCTACCCCCAGCCCCTTTCTTCCACCCCTCCACAGCATTCCTGGTCCCGGGCCCATCACACTTCGTCCCTCCATCCCACCTTCGTCCCTTCATCCCTGTTACCCAAGCCATTACTGACGCCACAAACAAGGGACCGCATAACCTCATCACTACCTCGCCCTACCTGCACCCAACCTGTTCTGATGCCCATTGCCCGTCCACTCTCTCTCACTTTGATCCCCTCACCCCAACTAGCCCTAGGTCCATACACCCTTCCCACCTCGTCCAGCCTGACCCCTTACCCCTCTTCCTTCCTCCTTCTTCCCCCACATCAGGACTCTCAGCTTGGTATCCTAGATCAACATATCTGTACTTCAATCTTGGATCTCAGTAACACAAAATTCAGAACACTGGCCTCTCAGATTAAGCCACCACCCCAATCTAGGGAATGGCATTAGTTCTACAGTCTTAGCCAGTGTCCACTAGGCACTGGCCCATTTAACATGCCTCCTGATTGAGCTCTCAGCCTGGTTAGTCTCTGATTCCAGAGAAATTCCAACTCAGCCCAGTGATTCTGAAACTATTTTTCTGTTCCAACATACTTGAGGGGCCTGGTATATCAGAATCTGGGGGTTGAAGTATAGTTTATAAAAGCCCCCCAGTATTCCTGACTGAGGATCTCAACTGTTTTCCACCCTTCACCATATGTGTTTCTTTATTTTTTTCTTTTCTTCTTCCACATTCCTTCCTCTCTTCCTGCTCCTTCTGGTATAAGTGTATTGCAGTAACTACCACTGCATTTAATATCTTCCCCTAAGGTGGACAGCCGGGCAGAATCCATTGACAAGAAGATTTCTCGATTGGATGCTGAACTAGTAAAGTATAAGGATCAGATCAAGAAAATGAGAGAGGGTCCTGCAAAGGTAAGGGAGGCAGCAGCTGCTGCAGAAGGTGCTGTGACACCTAATTTTTTTTTTAAATGTTGAACACTGATTTGGAGCAAGTGACAGTCTTATTTGAGCACCTGTAGAAATAGAGCCTGGTGTAGGGGCTGTTGAAAGATACAGAAGAGATGCTCACAGTTTGGTAAGGAGAAAATATAGTGAGGATGTATCCTTCAGCGGGAGGAGGGAGTTGAGTTTGCTACCAGATAAATGAGGGAGGCAGGGTTTTGGTCTGGTGGAGAGAAGATGCTGACCACTTGTCCAGAAGCACGTACATGGGAATTAGCATATTCGACTGAGAAGGTGGCAATCTGGAGAGGTGGGCTCGCTGTGCTCAGGATCAGTGAGTTGCCAGGCTGGTCATATTAGGTCCGTATCACAGACTGGTTAAGGAGTGGCCTGCTGGGAGAAATTACTGAACTAGGCATCTGGGACCAGTGTTTGAATACTAACACTATCACTGTCTATTAGTTGTGACCTTGATAAAGTCACCTAACTTATTTTCTGCTTCTGTTAGGTAGGAACATAGAGTACTATGTTTAAGCGCATGGACTGTGGATATAGAACTATCATGTTTCTTCCAGGTCCACAACTTATTAATCATGTGAGACAGAGCATCATTTGACCTCAATTTTCCTGTCCATAAAATGGGGATAATACCTAATTTACAGTGTGAGAATTAAACAAGATCAAGTACATAGTAACACTCAGTAAATGTTAGTTATTATCATCTGTAAAGTAATACCTGCTTTTCCTTTCTCATTGGAGGAGGCAGATAAAATGATAAATGGAACATTATCCAAAAGGGAAGGCTTTTCCCAGCCATCTTAGTTGATGGTGTGGAATGAAGCCCAAACATGGTGGTGGTTATGAGAGAGTGACAAGAAAAGAACTCAGTTTGAAAGTGAGTTCTGAAAATCAGATAACAGGATAACTGTGCATGAAGAGACAAGAAAGAGGAATGATAAGGTTGATGTAAAGGTTTTCAACCTAGAGAAGTGAAAGATTGGTGGGGCCATTGTTAGTTATTTCCAAGGTAAGATAAGGTTGAGGAGTTTGGACATGTTAAATTTGGGTTGATAGAATATCCAAGTGGGGAACTGCCCTAAGACAACTGGATATACAAAATCAGCACTGTTGGGACTAGGGGTGAAGATAATACGCATTGGAGAAGGGGAAAGTAGTTCAGGACACTGAGATGTGGATGCAGACAGATAGGAGCTAAGGCTTAAAGACTGAACCATAGAGATATCTGTGCTTGGGATGGAACGAACAGAATCCAGGAACCACTGTGTTTACTGTTTGAAGAAGAGAGTAAGTAGTAGGTATGTGTGTTTGAGGATATGAGAGATTTCTTTTACCATATGCATGTTTTCTACTTTCTTTTTATTAAATCTGTTTTTCTCCCCAGAATATGGTCAAGCAGAAAGCCCTGCGGGTTTTAAAGCAAAAGCGGATGTAAGTTTTACGCATAAGCTCTTTCCCTCTAGCAGGTTTGACCAAAATGGAAATGGTCTTTCATTCCTTCAGGTTTTTATACCACTTTCTAAACATTCTTGATTTAATTACAAATTTTCATTGACATATAATTAAATATAGTTAGCTAGGTCCCCCCCACATGTTCAGCAACATCTATTGTAATCTAAATAGAACTTTTTGCCACGATGATGTTTTGTATCTATGTGTCCAGTACAATAGGCAGTAGCCACATGTGGCTAATTGAGCACTGGAAATGTGTTTAGTGTAACTAAGGAACTGAAGTTTAAATTTCATTTAATTTTAATAATTTAAGTAGCTATATGAGGCTAATGACTGCTCTTTTGGACTGGCCAGGTCTGTATGGTTCGGTTTGACCATTATTTAGTTAGGGTGTGCTTTTTTGTTTGCTTGTAAAATTAGGAATCCTGAATATTTGTTCACTCTCACCAGAATAAATTTAAGGGTCCTTAATTTTTTTTTAGGTGACTGTGTCCCAATTTTGAGCAGAAGCCAAATAGTATCTTTGGTGCTTCCCGTGTAGATTGTTCTGTTGATGAGATACTCTGCAGGGTTGTAGATGTCAGGCATAATCATCCTGAACAAGAACGATTATTGATATCTCTCTTCCTTTTTTTTTTTCCTAAGAGACAAAGTCTTCCTCTGTCACAGAGGGTGGAGTGCAGTGATACAGTCATAGCTCACTATAACACTCCTGGGTTCAATCCTCCCATTTCAGCTTCCTGAGTAGCTAGGCCTATAGTCATGTGCCACCACGCCCAGCTAATTTTTTTTCTTTTTTTTGAGACACAGTCTTGCTCTGTTGCCCTGGCTGGAGTACAGTGGCATCATCATAGCTCCTTCGATCCTCCTGCCTCAGCCTCCCCTCCCGAGTAACTGGGACTACAGGCACATGCCACCATGCCCAGCTAATTTTTCTATTTTTTGTAGAGACAGGGGTCTCACTCTGGCCTAGGCTGGTCTCAAACTCCTGACCTCAAGTGATCCTCCCACCCCAGCCACCCAGAGTGCTAGGATTACAGGTGTGAGCCACCACACCCAGCCCCAGATAATTTTTTTATTTTTTTGTAGAGATGGGATCTCACTATGTTGCACAGGCTTGTCTTGAACTCTCAGCCTCAAGTGATCTTTCCACTTCCCAAAGTGCTGGGGTTACAGGCATGAACTACCACTCCTGCCTCTCTTCCTAATTTAAAATGACTTTTTATAAGATATCAGATACCATCTTCTTCCTTTTAGATTAGATCGAGTTGGAAAAAGAAGTTATAATGCCTAGACTCATGAGAGTATAGTGAAATGATTACCTCTTAATTGGTAGCATTGCAATTTTTAAGTAACTCATTGTTATGAAAACAATATGGGTTCATTGTAGAAACTTGGAAAATACATAAACATGAACAGAAGAAAAGAAAATTTACCTGGATTCCCAGTACTAGAAATCACCACCTTTTGAATGCTTATTTCTTCCATTTCTTTTCTCTGTTTATGTATATATGGCATGTGTGCATATAATTTTCAGAAGAAACTGAAGTTATAGTGGGTGTATAGACTATCCTTTTCTACTTAATGTTATATCATGAGCATTTCCTTGTTCTTTAAAATATTCTTTGGGGTCGGGCATGGTGGCCCATGTCTGTAATCCTAGCACTTTGGGAGGCCAAGGCGGGAGGATTGCTTGAGGCCAGAAGTTCAAGACCAGCCCGAGCAACATAGCGAGATCCCATCTCTACAAAAAAATAAAAAAATTATCTGGGCATGGTGGCATGCATCTATAGTCCCAGCTACTTGGGAGGCTGAGGCAGGAGGATCTCTTGAACCCAGGAGTTTGAGGTTGCAGTGAGCTATGATAATGCCACTGCACTCCAGCCTGGGTGATAGAACAAGACCCTGTCTCAAAAACAAAACAAAATATTCTTTGGAAACTATACTTTTTAATGGAATCATCATAATCTACCATTTGCTTATACCATGAATTGACCATTTTTCTTCTGGTTGGATGGATATTCAAGTGTTCCAAATATTGTATATATAAAGACCATAGTGACATAAGTCTTTGAGGTAGTTTTATAATTTGATTAAAACTTTATTTTAAAAAACATATTTTGAACACCAGACACTATATTAGGTCAGATGGATTACCTAATTATGAGTACAAGATTAATAAAATGTAATACCTGTCCTCAAGGGGTTAAGTCTACTGGAAAAACATTTAGTTATACATATGAAGAGCCTTAATAACAGTCTTACCCTTTGCCCCAAGAATTCTACTTCTGGGAATTTATCATAGTAAATAATTATAAAGACATATATTAAGATATGTAGTAATAGGCCGGGCGCGGTGGCGCACGCCTGTAA